CGAGGCACAGATTCAAGTTTGTGTGATAAATGCTGATCCAGGACTCAAACCCAGGCAGTCTCGTCCGGGTCTGAACCCTGGTGACCGTGTGGGTCAAGGTGGCTATCCCGCATGGACAGGCTCCACACCAAACACGCCCTGAGCCCTAAACACTGCGTCATTTCAAATACAACAGCGTAAGGTTTCCAGGATTCCAAAGAAACTCCAGGCACAAAAGACTTCTTTTTTTTTTCAGCATTTGTTAAGCAACTTTCAAAGGCCCTGACACCTTTGGGAACAAAAGTTGCTCCTGGCAAGTTCTTTTTTCTGTCCTCAGTTGGTACAACTCCTCATGCTTCGAAAATGGATCTACTTTCCAGAAACAGACAAGAGCTGGTTGGGATCAAGAGCTCCTGCTTCCCTCAGGGAGTGGCAGGGCTTCCTTGCCTCCTTTTGGGCCAATTCAGGAAAGCATTTAAAAATAAATAGTTTTCTTTTGTAACTACAAATGTAGTTACTGCAATTAGGGGTTTCATTACTGGCACCCAATCTAACGTCCTGTCAGGGGTAAGTCACTAGTACTGTCTTTGCAGTGGATTCTGTTTTCTACGCACCTACTGTTTAGTTGCTAGCTGTTGACTAGTAGAACAGTCCCAACTATGATCTCTAGTCATTTCCTTTCTTTTAGCAGAGATATGCCATTGACATAGAATTCCAATTTACTGGTATTGTGCATTGTTTTAGGGAAAATCCTGTAGAATCAATAGGATGCCATGCGGTCTTCACCAAGTGTGAAAAAGCAGGCCTTCTAAGAGAAAAGCGCTATCATTGTATGACCATTCCACTGGGTCACAGAGATGACATAGAAGACTGACCTCAAGTAACTCACAATCAAGTCGAGAAAGAGACACGTAAATGTAACTAAATGTGATTAAATGCTGCATAAATTTATGTTTCAAAAGAAGTGATCTATTTAAATTATCTTTTATGGAAACTACATAATCTTCCTTTCATTAAAATTTCCCTTGTTGATATAGGCAAACCAGGTCAGTTTCTGCTGGATTTGCATACTTGCATTTTAGTCCTTAATTTAACTTCTTATTAAAGGTTTAAAAGGGTGGGGAGTAGGGGGGGAGAGAAGTGATCTGAGCCCAGAAGACAGAATTGGGAAAGGCTTCCCGGAGGGTGTGACATTTAAGCCAGGTCTTAAATAAGTAGGTGCTTTCAAAGGACAAGAAAAGCATTTCAGACAGAAGGAACCAGGTTAGGCTAGAAGAACAGGCCTGCGAGGGCACCGGTGTGGTAAACTGAGAAGGTCGTGAAAGGCGGGACAGGCTCTGTAAAGCCACCTGAGCCACCAAGCCAGAAAAGATTTTTTCCAGACCTCCGCCCGCTCTTTACCCCACACACGTGGTCAGGAATCAATCTAGCTCACTCCACACCCTAAGTTATCGCCTAAGGTCTCTCTTCTCCATCCCCGATTCCATTCCTGTAGCTCCCCAACGTCTGCCTGGGATATTGCAGGTTTCTCCATTCATCTTCAAATCCCCCCACTTCCACTGCAGCCTGCAGTCAGTGAAATAATCTTTCTAAATTATACATCAGATCAAACCATTTTCTTGCTTAAAATCCCACTTGGTTTGCCAGCACTTCCGCGATAAAGCTCACCCTCAGCATGATGTAGGATTCCCTGTATAATTACGACCCCCCTCTCCAGACTCTGCCTGGCTCTGGCCCTGGCAGACTCCTCCCGGCTCTGGGATGGTGCACAGGTTACCAGAGGCAGCGAGCCCACTTCCGCCCATTTAAAACGGGGATAACAGCTCCTACCCATGAGCCGAGGATTAAAACCATGCACTTAGGGCCATAAGCAGGTGGTGGCCTTTTCCTTGCATGTCCGTCCCAAGGACTCAGACTTTGAACCAGAACGATGTGATTAGATCAGCACGTTAGAAAGATGAGCATCAGTGGGAAAGGGGGGGGGGGTGGGGGAGAAAGCAGAGGGAGGGCGACCAGAGGGGCAGAGACACAAGGGGAGACGTGAGTGGCAGAGGCAACGGGAGGAGAGAACGAAGGAGCACATGCAGGGATATAATCGAAAGGACTTGGTTTCTAACTGGGAGCAGAGGCGGAGAAGGGTGTTAGGAGAAGGCAGGTCTCAAAGCCCTTTCTAACGAGTTCTTACACTTTCTCTGCCCTCAGTTGAAGCACTTCTTCATCCTTTGAAAACGGATTTACTTTCTAAAAACAGGCAAAAGTGGGTTGGGGCCCAGTTTTGCAAAATAAGAAATTAAACTATGAAATGCCATGTGGCGCGGATTAAGTGTAGAGCCCACGAAACAGGCAGGAATCATGTGTATGTAGAAAGCATTTGCTTGGGGAAAAAAATCTAGCATTTTTATAATAAACCCTTGCAATCCATGTAACTGTCAAATGGTTTCAGGAGAAAGATCTCAAGAAAGCAGCGAGACCTGGCGCTCGGCCGATGCTTGCCTAGAACCATGCTCTGCCTTAAGCAAATTGCCTAATTAGTTAAGAGGGTGCCCTGTGTGTAGGACTGAGGCAACAACAGCCTGCCAGCCTCACAAAGTTGGGTTCACAAGTGTTATAAAAAGGTAGTTCTATTTCGCAGTTCTTCAGTAAAACATAGATGTAGATGGAAACTTCAAATGCAGATAAAAATTTGATTCATTATACAATATGATTACTCAGTTGTGACTTTATACTGTGCTGTAGGGACTGACAATTTTAAACAGCAGAATCACATTTTACACTTAAGTATAAATATACTTTGGCATATCATCAGGAAAACAACAAAAAATGTTACCGTGGATATTGAACTACTAACCCTTGATTCCGAGGTTTGAGATGAGAATTCCTGTATGTTCATTTATCTGAAAGGTGGGGAAGACCAGGAAATACATTGCTTCTGTCTATAGCAAACTCCCAGAAGGTATATGGAAGCTGATGCTTCGCGTACTAAAGGTGATCCTCACACCAGGTGGTCCAATACCAACTGTCCACTCCACGTGGTTCCCACGGTGTACCCGGAGAGTCACTCATCGGGGTCTCCCCTCAAACCACTTAATGAGGTATTTAAGGAAACCAACAAGTTCAAAATCAAGTTTTTAGGTCTACCTTCACATTCCGAGTACTAAGCACAGGTGCTGCGATGTGACTGATGCACAGCCTGGGCCAGAGTGGGACATGGGCCCACCTTGGACCTGAGGCTGGGCAGCCAGCAAGTTCAAAATCAACAGTTTTTAGGTCTATCTTCACATTCCGAGTACTAAGCACAGGTGCTGCGATGTGACTGATGCACAGCCTGGGCCAGAGCGGGACATGGGCCCACCTTGGACCTGAGGCAGGGCAGCCAGGGCCCAGGACATGGGCCAACCTCGGGCCTGGGAGGAGGGCAGCCAGGGCCCAGGGCATCTGACCCTCCTGCAGCTGAGGCAGGTGTGAGAAACGAATGAGCAGAGGGCACTTAAATACTAACTAGAGCCACCTCAAATTTCTTTCCCGCCTAACGCCCTTCTCAGTGATTGAAACATAACGCCATCATGCTAACAGGACACAGCGGCCTCTGCACTGATGCTCAGGTGTCCCACTTAAGAATTAGGAGCTAGAGCTACTCTGGTTGGTTCTAAGGTAACCATCTCCTACCCTTTATGTTGGCCACTGAGCCTCCGGGACCTCGGGCTTAAACTCATCTCCAAGATAACGAACCAGGCCTTGGTTAGGGCTATGAACTCAGGTTCCCCCCAACTACAGTTCACTCTTCTCAACGCCACACTTCTCTGCTGTCAGGTATTTTAAATCAGTGTAATTTCTCTTCTCTAATTCCATGAGAAACCAGTGTCACAGCCTGGATTTGCATCTCGCTCTCCTCCCCACAGCTGTCAGGGTCAGCACTTCACTTCCCTAAGCCTTGCTTTGCGGTTCCCTATGTGTTTTCTTCATCTGCCCAATGGGACACCACAACCTGACTTTGAAGGCTACAGTCAGAATCAAACCAGATGAACAAATACTGCACTGTCCACACCGCATGGAGTGCAGCCTGCCTGGCTCTCATGGCACCAGGTCGGTGCTCAGCCGGGATCTGGAAGCTCCATGGGTACCTCTCTGGGGGCAGCTAAGGCTCAAGGGGAGAGGCCAGGATTCCTACAGCCACACCCTTCCCTGGAGGATGCCTGCTCCTTACCACACCTGGTGCTATAGTGGTCCCTCCTGCACCTCAGGTCAGATCAGAAGCAGGCACAGAATGGTAAGGTGCCAAGTTAACACTCCGGTGTGGGGTGAATTTCCCGCCAAAATATAAGATGGCTCTGTCTTTTGGTTTTGTTCCATCCACCAAAAGGGTGGATTACAAACAAATATTTGGTAATACGCAGTTACAATCGGCCCGAGTTTACACGTTTCCCGCACTCCACCGCAAATCTATATGAACCGAGTTAAAGATGGCTCCCGCGGAGTACGCGCAATTCACGCGATCAGAAGCAGGCACAGAATGGTAAGGTGCCAAGTTAACATATGGCCAGGAGTGAGGATTTGCTCACTGACCGAGGTGGGAGTATCGCAGACACATCCAGTGCCCAGGCTTCAGTGTCCTCTCCAATAGTTCCCAGGGTCCCAAGGCTTTTGCTCACATACAAGTCCTCCCATTCATAAACCTCTCAGGTCTGAGAGGCACAAATCCCCTCCCTCCCCCTCCGTTAGCCCAGGGAGCCGTGAGTGACTGGGCTGACATGGAGACTCACCAGCAGCCACAGAACCAGGAGCAGAGAGCGTGGCTGGTGACCAAGCACCAAGCCCAGCAGACTAGACTCCACCCCATCCCAGGGGGAACTGCGCCCTCTCCCTCCAGCAGTAAGAACACTGGGCAGGGCAGGGAAACCAGCAGAGAACACAACTCAGGGGACTCTGCCTCCCACCTGCTCAAAGAGAAGGCAAAGCCATACAGCAACCACAGGAGAGCAGAGAAAGAAAAGCCATAAACACGTCCAGAAGAGACTCTCTCCCAAGGTGAAACTCACAGATAATTTAATGGAATTTACTTAATCTTCCCCTCTCAGGGTCTGACTTCAGAAAATCAAATTACAAAGTCATCATCACATCCTAGATTTATTACAACTGACCTGCAGGCAAAAGGATAGAACTATTACATAAACACTTCGATTCCATGTATATATCTTAAATAGAGGAGGATTTCAAACAAGAATACAGGATAAAATATTCCAAAGCTCCAAGAAGCAGTTATGTTACTGAGCTCCATTTTTACAGACAAATAAGGCAATATCCCTGCACATTAGCTTTTTGATAATTTTTATACATTTTTCTATGATACAAGAGAAAAATAACCAGAGCTCACAATGTACAGTTCTTACACTATTTTCACAGTCTGTGAACACTATACACCCTTTTGTTTTAATAAAGATACATTGTAATAAACTCCTTGCCCTTAAGTTTATAGTTTATAATAATCTATGATTAATACACTAAAATTGCTTTGATGTGGTCATCCACACAACAGAACAGTCAGATCAGCTTAGCTCCTGGACAGTCAGAACTGCTTTGATCTCCACTGTAGAATGGCAAAGTGACCCTGCGCAGAGCCGGACGGGAAGTTGACAGCAGACAGGAAGTTGAGTCCCCGGGAGATACGGAGAATGATGGCTTGGTGTGGTTGAAGGAAGACACATAGCAACGCTTCCTTTGAGAACACTGGGAAGTCTAAGGTTTATGATGCCATAGGGGAGAAAATGGGAAAATTAGGCAAATGGACCAAAGCGATAAATCATTTTTGAATTCTGAAATTGACAGGGAAGTGACTTTAAAACAGCACCATTCTCCCTTTATTGTTGTATAGTGTTGATGACTGTCACTCTGGGAGGAGACACAGCAGTACCTGCCCCGGGGGTTCTGGAACGGCCTCACCTGGTCTGGGACCACGGCTGTTTTATATTCCCGCGTGCTGGGACCACTCACAGTGCTGCTCACAGAGCCGAACGCTCAGTGCCAGGGAGGCCAGAGCAAACCCCAGGGGAAGCTGGCTGGTGGGGGAGTGAGGAAGCACAGCAGAGAGCAGGTTAGAGTGGGCTTATCACTGTTCGGGGGTTGTTTGGGTGGCGGGGTTGATTCTGTAGAACTCCAATTCCAAGAAATGATGACCTGTTAGAGGCTCTCGCAGGCGCTGAGCTCACCTAAGACTGCCGTTTCAGGTCCTCCCTGGGTCACTCGTGTTTCTAGAAAGATGCTGCCTCATCACCTACCACGTTACTGAGCCCCATGATGTTCAGCCTCTTAAACATTGGCGCATCTGAGAGATTTGGGGCTAGAAATCCTTGGTAAGGAACATCCCTGGTATTATAAAGGTTTTTAATAGAGGGGGTGGGGGGAGGCAAAGTATTGGATTAAGCAAAAGACACATAGTGGCAAGAGACTACAGGGGAGGGGAAGAGGTTCAGAAACCGAAGACCTGGACCAGTGACGGCAAACAGCTGCGATTTGGTCTTTTGCTGCCTACGAGAAATCTCTATCTATCTAATCAATCAAGGCACATTGCTCCTCGCTACTCCTCCCTGGTAGTGAGTTACGATGGCTAAAGTATCAGGCTCGGGACAAAGGGGGAAGAGAGCTGCTAGGAGTTGTCCCAGAGAAGATGCTCGCATGAAAACGTCTGTAAACGTTGCCCTCCGTAATTTTTCTTCGTTCAGTCCCGGTGGTTGGTGGCAGGTGGAACCTCGGGTTGGCAGCACACCAAATGCTGAGTGACAATTCTTAGGATCAGCACCTTCTTTGACAAGGGGCAGACTCCCGAGTCTCCCAGTGAAGAGCAGAAGGACTGGTCAAGGAGAAAAGAGCACATTCTGTCCTGTCTCGATATTTTACTGTTCGCCTATTTGAACACAACATGGTTTTTGGTAAAGATAAATTCATTCTAATTTAAAATGGTATTTCAAACGGGAATTTGGCCGAGCACATCGATCCCCGAACATCGACTGTGACCATAAAGCAACAGGACCTCAGATCAGTAAGTCTATTGCACTTGGTGAAGAACAGAAACCCTCCTGTCTCCCGGCTCCAGAAGGCAATGCGTCTCGCTGGCTGTGCAAGCTCTTCTCACTCGTGCCGAGTCCCTACGTTCAGACACAGTACATCCATCACTGCGTTTTTCCAGGACCGGAAGTCTGACAAATACCACTCCAGTAGCTGCGTCTCCAGGTTTTGAGTCTAGAAATGAATTAAAGATGTGATCTAATCACAGTCAACAAATTGATCGTACTGACCTCCACGTTTCATGAGTATGTCATCGGGAAAGAGCAGGATGAGGTCTCTGACCAGCACGAACACTGGGATCAGTCGGATACTTCGGGGATGCACGTCCTAGGTGACGGGAGTATACAGACATGATGGAAACAAACACCAATCTTATTGCACATGGTGTCTGGGAGAGCAATAAAAACACTGTGATAGGGTGAAAATTCTTTACGTCTTGCTTCCTCTCAGCCCTTTTTTCTAGAGTCTGACGTAGCAGCGGCATCAATCGACATACATGGGAGAGCTGGGAGTTGCTGGCATTTGATCCAGGATTTTACAAACATAGCTTGCGACCTCTACAGTACGTTCTTCATACATTAAAATAAAGGGATGTTTCTGCAAGAAAATGGAAGAACAAAACAAATCAAAATTTATATCAGAGCCCACGTTGGGCTTTTCCCAATTTTGGAACAGCACAGAACCAGAGGCTCAACCACGCAGGGCTATGAAACTCCAGCACCGGCTCAGCGCTGCCAGCACAGCCTGCATTCCCAGGAGGCGTGTCAGTGGGTGTGGTCTGCCGGGCGTGATTCTCAGGCTGGGATATGGAGCCCCCTGGAGGTGAGGTCTGGGTATTAATCTGTGGACCGGGGAGCATTTGCTAAGGCAGACAGCACTGCTGTTCCTCTGCACAGAACATCTGAGAACCAAGAACTACATGACCACCAGGTGCTAGTCTTAGGACAGACACCAACTCAACTGCCCGTTCCCCCAGGCGCAAAGTGAATCCTGAACAAAAAGAACTGTTTCAAACCTTCTCACCCCCGCTCCCAAGGAAACTCAATAGAAACTTACCCTATGAACTCCTGCACCACACTCTCCAAAGCCTGGAGCCCATATCTGCCTCACAACCCACCGTTTCATACTCCATCTCCAGCAGTATTTTTCTTTAACAGTTTCTCTAAGCACAATGACTGGGGATAGCTATTTTTTTAACATATATTTTTATTGATTTCAGAGAAGAAGAGAGAGGGGGAGAGAGAAATAGAAACATCAATGATGAGAGAGAATCATGGATTGGCTGCCTCCTGCACGCCCCCAACTGGGGATCGAGCCCGCAACCTGAGCATGTGCCCTGATCGGGACTTGAATCAGTGACCTCCTGGTTCATAGGTCGATGTCAACCACTGAGCCACACCAGCCAGGCCTGACTGGATATCTTTAGTCACACCTGGGGTTGACCATAAGTCTGAGAGATAGAAGCTAAGTGTGACAAATAGGTGGTTTTTTTCTTAAAATATTCCCACATTACCAGATCACAGTACTTTGTTCACCACTAAGACCAAATACACATCCAGGAGACTACTTAAAAGGCCCAGGTTCCATGGGGTGGGTGAGAAGTTTTAAGAGAAATGGGAATTGGCTGTATGAGTCTAGATTTATTTGCATGAGAACATTTTATAAAGGCAGAGAAAGCACAATAAATTCTTACGGATGTGTTACACATACATAAACCACATGGTAAAATAAAAATGGCTCCTTAAAGTGAATCTTAAAATTCTCCAGGGAGCCCAGCCAGTGTTACCCAGTGGTTGAGCATCAACCTATGAACCAAGAGGTCACCAGTTCAATTCCCAGTCAGAGCACATGCCCGGGTTGCGGGATCGATCCCCAGTAGGGGGTGTGCAGGAGGCAGCCTATCGATGATGTTTCTCTCTCATCAATGTTCCTATCTCTCTATCCCTCTCCCTTCCTCTCTCTAAAACATCAATAAAAACATATTTTTTAATAAATTTTCCAGGTTAATATTTATAACATGTCAAGGTCAAAACTTTCCATGAGAACATACCGAGTAAATCAGTAGGGAAGTTATAACTTCAAATTTTCTCTTTCCAAACACTTGCTTCAGAACCTTTTACAAAAGCCCAGTGAGGTGAAGCTGTCTGTCTGTCTGTCTGTTTGTTTGTCTTTGAGAGGTCACTGCCTGGTCAGTGAGGTGGAGCTGTCTGTATGTCTGTGTGTCTGTCTATGAGAGGCCACCGCCTGCTCAGTGAGGTGGAGCTGTCTGTCTGTCTGTCTGTCTGTCTGTCTTTGAGAGGTCACTGCTTGGTCAGTGAGGTGGAGCTGTCTGTCTGTCTGTCTATAAGAGGCCACTGCCTGCTCAGTGAGCCAGCACGCTGAGCGGACCAAGGCTGAGGAGACAGCTGACATTGCCAAGGTCTCATACTCACCAGAAGTTCTTTATACTTTGGCCTTTTGGATTCGTCCTTTGTAAGGCTAAAATAACAAAACAAAACAAACATTATTAATATGAAGACACATTTACCCCAAGGATTTTTTTTTCACAAAAGAAATATTATAAAGAATCGAGTAGTTTTTTCCTTCAGATGCAAAGGTGACATAGCAGACAACCTGCCAATCTCAGAAAACAGGAAAAATTAGGCAATCTATGAACAAGAGAAAAGCAAAGCAGTTTCAGGAATGTATAGTAAAGAAGATATACTAAACACTCTGGCTTTTTGCTTGTAAATATAAATTTTTAAACTATGTTGGATAAATAATAATTATTAAAAATAGTCAAATAATAACAAAGCCTGTTGTATTTAAAATACAGATTGAAACAGCATGAAGCAAGATTATATATCACCATCTCTGCATAAGTTTATTCTCAGGAGCTGCTCACACAGGCACGCACACGTACACACGCATACGTGCACCTTTAAAAGGTGGACAGACATGAGGTGTGGAGTTCACCTTCCTTGGAATAGGTTTCAGAGAGCTAATCTAGGGTTCTACCAATTGAACTTTAGGCCTAACTTGACTCCACACACCCAACCATGTTTTATGTTATGTCAGAGCAGAGATCAACCCCTGAAAGTATGGCCTGGTAGGATCTTCACTTGGTAAAGGCTTCCAAGTGATTTGGTACAATTTCACGATGAAAACCACATCAGAATGAGATGGCCAGTCTCACCTGGGCTGTATTTCTTGTACAGAGAACTAGAAACCGGGAGGCAGCGCTTCTCCACCACCCCCAGCTGTTTTCATCAGTGCCTGAGCAGTAGAACAAGAGAACAGGGCCCTCCAGGCTGCTGGAACCTCCCATGTAGCTGCAATGATCCGGAGTCCCAGCTCAGGAGACAGAGGGACAGGAGAAGGCTCCCCTGCCCCAGTGTTGCTAAGGTTAAATCAACCTCACTGTTCTCACTGCATGTTTTTGAACATCCATAATTCAAGTACTCACCACAAGTTGACAAAATTGATGAAACTCGGGGAGAATTCCCTTTCCTCCGAATTACTCAGCTGCGGGGGGTCTCCTTTCACAACTTGCGTTAGTTGATCAAATACACTATTCCACTTTGGATAAGGAAATCGGCCTGTGGCCAACTCGTACTGAAAGAACCCAGAGGAAAAAGCAAAATACACTAAGGAAATGCTTACTTCTCCTCACTGAAATGGCCATGTTGAAAATCTAAACTCTAAGCAAAACTCTTAAAAGCTTGGCATTAAATCCGTATCAGGTTAAGGTGGAATCTTCAGAAGTATTAAGGCTAAGTGGAATGGTATTAGAATCAAGATAATATAAAGAATTCTGTATCAACCAAATCCAAGAACTTGGACTACAAGGAAACAATGAATTTAAGCCCCAAGTCCCACAGTGCATGCTTCAAGTCTGACTCCTTTGTATACAGGATTCTGCAAGGCTGGCTTTAGAACTATTTTAGTACAATATCTTCACTATTTATAGTCACCTGAGTGGAAAGCCATGTCCAGAACTGTTGCCAAATTCATTTTTAAGGTAAAATAACATTAAACATACAAAACATCCAATGAGCTCCCAGGAAACAAAGTTCGATTGCCATTCTGCAGTTACTACAATTCCAACCACAACCAGATGTTACCATCGCTGAAGAAAAAGTCAGGGTCAAAGCCTTCACCCTGAAGCCCAAAAATGATGCTTAAGAGAAGGAATAAGGTGAAGGATCTAGGACCCTAGAAATTAATTTCACACATTTCATAATTTTATGAGATTATCCATATAAAAAAAAACAAATTATGAAGCAATTATAAGTACTGAATACCTTGCTTTAAACAAAGACATAGTACTAAAGATACTTGCTAAAATTTTTTTTCTATGTTAGAACCTTTCACAGAACAAAAATTTGTTTTTACTAGTATAATGAAGTAAATACTTGTTTTTTAACATAACTGGTTTGGACACAGATAGGTATTTCTGAACCGTTAATATCCCTTCTATGCGAGCAGTAGCCTCAGCTAGAAGCTAGAGTCTTGCTGCAGTCTTTGGCACCAGCCACCAGACCTAAAAGATACCCAAGTTCCATGCTCTCTCCTGACTGAAAAAAAGATTCCTTCTTTGCTCAGTTGGCTTCACAATGGGAAAAGACTCAGAAGGTGCCTCCCAGATCTGGCCACAAGAGAAACTAGAAGGAGTCTTCAGCAGAGGTGAGTTGTTAGCCTCAACTCTCTACTCAGAGACTTCACCAGGCTGGCAACATGACTCACCAAGAATAACTACATGAATAACTAAAGGGTAACTAACAGGGACAACTACAAGGAAATTACAAGGATAACAACAAGGACAGCTAAAGGATAAATAACAAGGACAACTGCAAGAATAACTAAAGGGTAACTACAAAGATAACTAACTAACAAGATAACTATAAGGATAACTAACACAGCCCCATTTAGTGGCGGAAGATTCACACCATGTAGGCAAAGCTGTCAAAAATCAGAAAAATGCCATCAAGCCTGGTAAAACAGCAAGCACAAGAAAATGAACCTAAAACTTGAAAACAAAATTTGGTATCTTTATATATAAAAGCCTAATATGCTAAGTGTCCGACCGATTGGTCGACCATTCAGTCGACCAGTCGCTATGACGTGTACTGACCACCAGGGGGCAGACGCTCCGACCGGTAGGTTAGCTTGCTGCTGGGGTTCAGCCGATTGGGACTGGGCGAGATGGGCTGGACATGCCCTGGAGCCAACCTCCCACGGTCCCTCCCCAGCCTCTAAAATATTTCTTCTAATTTCCTTTCAATGTGCATGAATTCGTGCACCAGACCTCTAGTTAAAGAAATAAGCAAATAAAGATGCTTTTTAAATAGAACCAAAATTTCAACACAGCCAAGAAAGAAGAGTTGATTTAATTGTGCTTAGTTGCAAAGTAAGCAGCTTTCTGACTATTCTTTCTGTGTTGCTCTAAGGTAGAACTCTCCTTTAGAACTGTCACCTAAGCAGTTCTTGTTTCTCAACAACTGAATTACTTTCAGTTTCTCTGTGACTTTTCTATTCCGTGACTGGAAGACTCCAGTGACATGAACATATTCCTCTAACACACACCCTGCATAGTGTTACTGGACACACTACCCAGGCTGAGTGGAGGAGCCCGTGCCTTCCCAGGACTCTGACTGCACAGGAGCTGCCCCACCCCATTCCATTCTCAGTGCACGAGACTCCTGTGTGTGTGACCAAGACATCCACAGCTGCAATGTTACAGAGCCCTAGGCACCTCAGAGAACCTTGAGAGAAATAATCAATTACGGTTTGATTTTTAAAGTATAAAACATACATTTATTCAACAACTAGAACATACAGTCCCTGTGATCATAGCCATGAGGGGAAAAAATAGGTAAATAAAATCAAAGACTAGAAGAGACAAGAAGCAGTTCTTATGAGGGGTGGAAAACTGATGAAATTTACTTTCACTTCTCAATTTCTTGGTACACTACTAGGACAAGGCTGGGTGGACATCAACATACCAACGTGATCCCCAAACTCCAGACATCAGAGCGGACATCATAGCCTTGTCGTGATGCACTTGGGTCTATTCTTTCCGGCTGGAACACAAAGGGAAGTCACAGTCAGTAATTAGTCACATGATTAAGAAGCAGGGAAAGGGAAGCAACAGCTGGGCAGGTGGCCCAAATGCCAGCATAATCCTTACAGGAACCCATGTCTGGGGTCAGATTAAGAGTCATGGCTCTAGCTGGTTTGGTTCAGTGGATAGAATACTGGCCTGCAGACCAAAGGGTCCTGGGTTCAATTCTGGTCAAGTGCAACGTACCTCGATTGCAGGTTCCTTCCTGTCCCTGGCCCTGGTCAGGGATCATGCAGGAGGCAACCACTCAATGTGTTTTCTCACATCAGTGTTTCCCTATGTCTTTCCCTCTCTTTTCCATTCTCCCTAAAACCCAGGTGAGGATTAACAACAACAAAACAAACAAACAACAAAAAAGTAGTAGAAAGCCAACATTAAAAACAACCAACAGCAAAAACAAAAAAAAAAAAAGGAAAAAAAGAAAAAAGAAAACCTCAATAGTTTTCTCCCTAAAGGGAATACAAAGCAACTCTCCTAATTTTCCCCCTAAGTACTCACAAGCACTTACAATCCTGAAGCTGAGAACAGCCAAAGGGAGAAATAGGGAGAAAACTGGAAAAATGTAAAAAATAAAGAAATGCAGGGTCAGCTTAGCAGCAAGTAGTGGCAAATGGGGGAAAAAAGACTAAGTTTGTTTCCGTGAATAAGGCCCTACTGCGATATATTGAGATACAAAAGCAAATATGAGCCAAATTATAATTATTTTACCCATTCTTCATCATAAAGCTAAATTTACCATTATTTCTATTAGTCATTTTAATCAAATTAAACATTGTCAATATAGTAATATATCACCCTATCATTTAAATAGCTAACATCATTTTTAGTGACTTCTGTGAAATTAGAGACCATTATCTACACAATGTGTCAGGGATGAGAAGATCAGAGACAGAGACAGAGATAGAGAGTGCGCGCGCACATCGGTGGCAGAGCAGACCATGGATCCTAAGACTGAGTAACTGCTGTTGAAAGGCATGCCCAGAGAAGCATACCAGTTGGTTGAATTATATTCTACTAGAGGCCCGGTGCACAAAAATTTGTGCACTCGGGGGGTGGGGGGGGGGGGTCCCCTCAGCCCGGCCTGTGCCCTCTCGCAGTCTGGGACCCCTTGGGGGATGTCCACCTGCTGGATTAGGCCCGCTCCCCGGGGGGATTGGGCCTAAGCTGGCATTCAGACATCCCTCTGGCAGCCCGGTAGCCCTCAGGGGATGTCCACTTGCCAGCAGGGAGCAGGCCTAAGCTGCAGTAGGACATCCTTAGCGCTGCTGAGGAGGCGGGAGAGGCTCCTGCCACCACCGCTGTGCTGGCAGCCATCGGCCTGGCTTGTGGCTGAGCAGAGCTCCCCCTGTGGGAGCGCACTGACCACCAGGGGGAATCTCCTGCATTAAGCGTCTGCCCCCTGGTGGTCAGTGTGTGTCATAGTGACCAGTCATTCCCAGTCGTTCTGCTGTTAGGGTCAATTTGCATATTACCCTTTTATTATATAGGATAGAGGCCTGGTGCACGGGTGGGGGCCAGCTGGTTGGCCCTGAAGGGTGTCCCGGATCAGGGTGGGGGTTCCGCTGGGGTGCCTGGCCAGCCTGGGTGAGGGGCAGGTGGCTGTTTGCAGGATGGTCAAGGCCCCCAGTGGGGATCCTCACCCCATGGGGGTGTGGCCAGCCTGGGTGAGGGGCTGACGGCTGTTTTCAGGCTGGCTACGGCCGTGGGCTGGAAGCAGGTATCTGGGATTTATTTAACTTCTATAACTGACACTTTGTTGCCTTGGTCCAGCTTGAAGCCCCTCCTTGAGCAGAAACCACGGTGGCTGGAAGCAGGTATCTGGGATTTATTTATCTTCTATAATTGAAACTTTGTAGCCTTGAGCGGAGCTCAGGGCCGGCAGGGCAGGCGGGAAGCTTGGCTTCCTCCATCGCCGGGGCAACTCAAGCCTCCTGCTCGCTCCAGCTCCGTGGCCGCCGCCATCTTTGTGACAGAGTGATGGTTAATTTGCATATTACTATTTTATTAGCTAGGATCACTGTTGGCAACCACTAGTTTGGACACCTACATATTTTGTTTTGAACATGAGTACTGTGGCTGCATAAATTTTCATTGTAAGCTACTTATTATTCATGAGCCCAGACACTTAAGTTATATGATAACTTGCAGAAATTTGTACATTAGGGATGCAAATGATTTTTGCCTAATAACCCCAAAAGCTATTTCCAATCTTGGCATGACAAAAATCTGAAGATATAACAAGAGCTAGAAACCTCAAAGTTAGCAATTGATAAGCTCATCACAATAAAATTTTATATTTCTGTAATTGAGCCAAAGATATGTACAATTTAAAGAAAAATGACAACTTTTGAGAAAACTATCCTATATAATAAAAGGCTAATATGCAAATTGACCAAACAGCAGAATGACCGGTCGCTATGATGTGCACTGACCACCAGGGGCAGACGCTCAACGCAGGAACTGCCTCCTGGTCGTCAGTACGCTCCCACAGGGGGAGCGCTACTCAGCCAGAAGGCTGGCAAGCACAGCAGCAGTGGCAGGAGCCTCTCCCACCTCTGCAGAAGCACTAAGGAACAGCAAGCTGAGCGGTAAGGAGCAGCGAGCAGGTGGGCAGTAAGGAGCAAGGGGTCCCAGATTGCAAGAGGAATGCCTGACTGCCAGCTTAGGCCCCTGAGGGTCTGGATTGCGAGAGGGCGCAGACCAGGCTGAGGGACACCCTCTGCCCCCCCCCCCCCCCCATGCACAAATGTCAAGCACCAAGGCCTCTAGTGTAACATAAATTCTCCCTTATATTTTTATATCAACATAAAAGATTAACAATTTCTAATAAAAATGGACAAAAGGATAATTGGCATTAAAGTGGTCAAATATTAAGGAAAAAAGGCAAGCCTAAGTTGGTTTGGCTTAGTGGATAGAGCGTCGGCCTGTGGACTGAAGAGTCCTGGGTTCAGTTCCAGTCAAGGGTACATGCCTGGGTTGTGGGCTTGATCCCCAGTACAGGAGGCAGCCAATCAATGATTCTCTCTCATCATTGATGTTTCTTTCTCTCTCTCTCTCTCTCCCTCTCCCTTGCTCTCTGAAATCAATAAAAATGTGTTTAAAAAACATTTTTTTAAAAAAAGAAATCATGAATTTATACCCAAGATTATGTGGGGTAGTTGTTTTTTAACATTCAAAAATAAGCAATTCAAACTGCTAAAGAAAAAGTACTGGTTACTCAAGTGCAAATCTACATTTCCAAAGATGACAGCACTCTTAACAATAGTTGCTTATTAAATTTGACTTCAGTGAAGTCAAAATTCTCAGGGATTGTATCTTTATACCTTCAGCCATCTCAGTATAACTCACAGAGAATGGTGGCCTTCAGTGGTTTTTAAACAACTTTACTGAGATGTAATGCACATACCATACAATTCACCCACTTAAAGTATACAAGGCAATGGCTTTTATATAGTGACAGATATTTGTATCCATGACTAGAGTCTATTTTAAAATATTTCCTCACCCAGCACCCTCTGAATATCATCACCACCCTACCCCCACCCCACCCCCAAAGGTCTAAATAACAACTAATCTGCTTTCTGTAGCTACAGCAGTGATGGCGAACCTATGACACACGTGTCAGAGGTGACACGCAAACTCATTTTTTTTGGTTGATTTTTCTTTGTTAAATGGCATTTAAATATATAAAATAAATATCAAAAATATAAGTCTTTGTTTTACTATGGTTGCAAATATCAAAAAATTTCTATATGTGACACGGCACCAGAGTTAAGTTAGGGTTTTTCAAAATGCTGACACGCCGAGCTCTAAAGGTTCGCCATCACTGGCTTAGGGCAAGTAGGAAGTGAAAGTTAAGGCAGGTTTGTAAGTGACCTGGCTACGGACTGAAGGAGAGTCTCAACACAAAGCCAATCTGCAAAAACTGGAATAGTTGTTTTGGTTTATTTCCCCCCTTTGTTTTCTTTGTGAAAAAAATGTTTTGGAGCCTGGTATCTCGCCCTCCCCGACCCTGCACCCCAAAAGCAATCTGTCAAAACACTAGCTGAGTCCTGGCCAGCACTGCCCAGTGGTTAGAGGTTAAACTGGTAACCTCTTGGTGCACAGGACAACACTCAATCCACTGAGCCACACTGGCTGGGCTACTAAATAATTTCTTTACCAGGCATTTTGAAAATCTAAATTGTCAAACAAAGGGGGAAAAGTGAATACCATTTTTTCAGCCTGTATACAAGTGGAAAATGAAAATTATACCCTGAAGAATTAAGTTCTTTTGAAACCAAAGGGAAAGAGAAAGCAGAATATGAATGAATGAATGAATAAATGCTTTTAAATTAGTTCAACAAAGTTCAAAGGAAGTACACACATCAACAATTTCTCACTATTGATTAGATATAATAACTTGATTAGATTTTCATGCCTGATAGGCTTGCACATATTTTAAACAAAGGTTATGTCAGGGTTTGAGAAATGACCCAGGTAAATAGATGGACAAAGTTCATGAAGTACTGCTATGAAATGCATTATTTCTATTACTGATTAAGACTATCTTACAGGTGTGTGTGTTTCCAGACCATGTGTGTGCACCCTTCTACATAGAAGTAAAGATATCTGCCTTGCTGCCTGGCTCCCGAGTATGTTTTGTGTTCTACCAGGACCCCTGAATTTGGGGGCTCGCCTTATTTCTTACAATTTGGGGGCTTGTCTGGGATACCGTTTGTCGTCACAGGGAAATTGGACCCCTCCCCTGAGGAGGTGCGCCCCGCTGCCTAGTTGTGGCGGCCTCGGTGAGGAGGGACAGCCATCACACCTGGGCCAACTATGAGCTCAGGATCGAGAGTCAGCCAGCAAAGCAGGAAGGGCCCAAGCAAGACCTGCGGCAATCAGGTTAGAAGGCCTCCTGACCCAAAGCCCTCTTGAGTTTCCGGTTCATTGCCATCGACCAGAAAACTGTTTGTT